ATTGTTATTTCAGAGCTTGACTTTTTTAGCGCTTCCTTTCTTGCCTGCATCTAATTTATTTTTTCCTGTTGGATTTGTGATTGCTGAAAGAGTATTATATATACCATCGATGGGATTTTGTATGATGGTCGGTTACGGATGGTCTCTGATAGAAAAGAAAAAGTAAACTTTGGCTATTTTATGCTAAAATCACTAAAAATTTTTTAAACATGCACCGTAATGATCCATTTTCATTTGATTTCAGGTCTAAAAAAATCGCTTGGATCGGTGTTTCTTTGCTTCTTTTATTTCACAGTTTTAAAACTTTAACAAGAAATTGGGATTGGGAATCGGAATACTCCATTTTTATGGCCGGTTTAAAAGTTAATCAAAAAAATGCAAAATTGTTCAACAATGTCGGTCATGCTTTGGAAAGTCAAGGACGGTTTAAAGAAGCTCTAGTTTATTTCAAGAAAGCCGTTAGGTAATTAACAACCTTTAAGTTGTGTTTATTTAATGACATGCATTAATATATTTAAAATGGTAAGAGTAAAAAATTTTTGTATTTTCCAGTGTTCAAGAGGACGACATTGGAGCTCACATAAATGTCGGTCGAACGTTCAATCAATTAAAAATGTTTAAAGAAGCAGAAGAAGCTTATTTAAAAGCAAAATCTCTTTTACCCAAAGCAAAACCCGGTGAATCTTATCAAACGCGAATCGCTCCAAATCATTTAAACGTATTTTTAAATTTGGCAAATTTAATAGCAAAAAATGTAACTCGGTTGGAGGAAGCGGATTTATTATATCGACAAGCCATAAGTATGAGAGCAGACTACACTCAGGCATACATCAATCGAGGAGACATCCTTTTAAAATTAAATAGAACTAAAGAAGCGCAAGAAGTTTATGAGAGAGCACTTTTTTATGATAACAATAATCCAGACATATACTATAATGTAATAAAAATCTCTTTAAAAAATCATGAGTAAAACCTTAAGAAGTGGAAGAATATTCTAAAAAAGGTTAATTTTGTTTTTTAGTTGGGAGTAGTTTTTCTAGAACAAGGTAAGGCATCGCAAGCCTTGGCTTATTTAGATAAAGCTTTAGAATTTGATCCAGATCACGAACAAGCTCTCTTGAACTCTGCAATACTTCTTCAAGAACTCGGAAGGGTGGAATTGCGAAAAATCGCACGAGACAGACTTTTAAAACTTTTAAACAAGGTACCCACCTACCTACCTACCTACCTACGTACCTATCTTTGTAAAGTTGCTTTTTCTCTCTAAAAAATGTTTAAAATTGTTACAGGATGCGACAAACGAGAGAGTGTATTTTAATTTAGGAATGTTGGCAATGGATGACCACGACGTATCCGGTGCCGAACATTGGTTTAGATTAGCTGTTCAGTTAAAAGACGATTTTCGCTCTGCTTTATTTAATCTTGCTCTTCTTTTGGCGGATGATCACCGTCCTCTTGAAGCTGCGCCTTTTCTAAATCAATTAGTCAGATATCATCCGGATCATGTCAAAGGATTAATCCTTCTCGGCGATATTTATATAAATAACATAAAAGATTTAGACGCCGCTGAAAGCGTACGTATGGATGTACACCTCCTGAGTATTTAACAAGTAAAGAGATTAAAATTTTTTTTCCCCGTTTCAGTGTTATCGGAAAATTCTTAAATTGGAGCCTGAAAACGTTCAAGGACTTCACAATTTGTGCGTTGTTTTTGTCGAAAGAGGAAATCTTCAAAAAGCAGAAGGTTGCCTTAAACAGGCTCTAAAACTCGCACCGAACGAAGAATACATTTCTCGTCATTTGAAAATCGTTCAACAGCGTTTAATCAAACAAAATTATTCGTATACCTCTCCTCCATCTTCCGACTCTGAATTTTTCGACAAAAATATCGATTCCGAACATGAGAAAAGGAAATACACGATGAAAGGGAATCAAAGTAAAGATGGAGACGGTCTAAGTGACGGTTCAGAAAAGAAAGGGGTTAAAAAACATGTTCCTGACTTTGAAAAGACTGATAATGATGATGATGATAATGTGGTGTTTTATGAAAACAATAAAGTAAAAAATAAAGCCAACCCCACGTTGTTGGCTAATAATAATAATAATAATAATAATAATAATAAATTAAAAAAATCATATTTCGAAGAAGATAGTTATCCTCGTAAAGAAGCTGTGATCGAAGCAACTGTACCATCAAATATTGTCAAATCTAAAAAGAAAAGAAGTATTTTATCACACGATTTGGATGAAGTTTCACTCTCATAGCGCTTGAAATTATTATTATTATTATTATTATTAATATTATTGTTAATGGCAAATTATTTTTAATTTATTTATTATTATTATTATTATTTTTTTAAATAAAATGCTTTTTATTTCATTAATTTGATTTTTAAGTAAAAAAATTTAAATAGAACCATTAAAGTAAAACGAAAGAGAGAGAGAGAGAGAGAGAGAGAGAGAGAACGCTTTTTGCATAATAATATATTTAATAATATAATTTGAGTGTTAATCGTTTCATTTTTTTTTTTTTTTTTTTTTTTTTCTTTTTACGGTGTTTTATTCGAATAAAAAATATTTATTGCAACAGTATTTAGATGCCTAAACTAGGGTATTTTGGCCTTAGAATAATTTTAAAAAATTTGTAAAACATCTTTTGTTATATGTTGTATGTAATCTGTTAAAAAAAAAAGTATATGTGAAAGAAAAAAACTCTAAAATCACATTCCACTTTTAATTTTAAAAAAAAAAAAAAAAAACCATAAATATATATAAATAAATAAATATATATATATATTATTTTTTTAATTAATTGTTGTTTACTGTTATAAATAATAATTTTAAAAAAACAAAATGGGAAAAAAAAAAAAAAATTTCATTTAACACAAAATTTTATGTTGTGGAAGGAAAATTTTTTGTAATAATAAATAATACTCGAACTGGAAAATAATTAATTAATTAATTAGTTAATATATATAATTTCTTATGTTGTATTATTTATTTAAAAAAAAAACATTTTAAATAGATTTTTTTATTCTAAAAAAAAAAAGTTTTTTTTTTGGATACACATACAGGCACTGTTAAGGGTTTAATCCACTCCTAATCCATCATTAAATTGAAAAAAAAAAAAAAAACATTTAGAAAATCATTCTAGATCAAAATAGACTAATAATAATAATAATAATAATTAAAAGTAAAAAAGTCTTAAATATTTAAAAAAAAAGTCACAATCAATAAGATCCTTTATCAACTTCATTAATGGCTTTTATAAGAACCGTTGCAAAAACAGTTTTTAATACCTGAAATTAATAATAATAATTATTATTTATTAATAATAATAGGTACACACACACACTAAGGTACCTTATAATGTATCAGTATATTAATTTGAATTTAAAAAAAAATTTTTACAATTTGGAAAAAAGGAAAAACTAAATAAAAAATTTCAATTGTTTTTTGTTTACTTTTTTTTTTTTTTTTGGAAAAATTTACATTTGAATATGCCAAAAAATGAAATTGAAGGAGAACAAACTGTAAGTAAAATTATCTGGATAAAAAAAAAAAAAAAAATGATGGATTATGTTACTTTAATAATAATAATTATTTTTTATAAAAAAAGGTTCAAAGCACAACAGATCAATTTCAATTTGTCACAGATGAAGTTAATGTTGTCGTACGTGAATGCATTGAATCCATACTCGGTAATGAAAAATGGAACGATGAAAAACAAGAACAATGGAATAATAGGATAATGGAAAGCATTATGGAAAAAATGAGTCAATTTAAAAAACCGTATAAATATATTGTACAATGTACGACCGTACAAAGAACGGGTTGTTGTATTGATGTTGCTAATTCTTGTTATTGGGACCTAGAAACGGACGGAAGTGTAACCGTCAGGTGGGAAAGTCCGGATATATATGCAATAGTATCCGTTTTTGGCATATTCGTTTAGGGTTTTTCCAAACCAAACCAAACAACTAGTAGTAGTAGGTCAACTAACATTATTTTGTATGTATTTCCCCTCAAAATAATATTTTTAATGATAATTATAATTAACCATTTGATTGTTGATGATGTTTAATTATCTAAGGCATGTTTACAAAAGGTTCAGACATTTTTTAAATAAGGTTTTTGTATGAACTGGTACAGTACAGTTGAATAAAAAGAAAATTTAATGTTACTCACATCAAATAAACATAAAAACATTGATACGCCAGCTAGCCAAGCAGCTTTTTCTTCTAAAAACCATGTCAATTCATCAACGCATCCATGAAAATATGTATGTCCTGTAACTGAATCTCTACATTCTGGTGGTAAAGGTTTTTTAAATTCTAAATAATCATTAGCACCATTGGCTCCACAACATCCAATCTGAAAATATTAATTACCACAAGTTCAAAAACTTCATGTTGATGATTAACTACCATCATTGAGAGGCACCAGTAAATCTTTTGCCAACTAATGATAATAATAATTTTACTTATTTCTTTAACTTTAAGTTAATCATTATCAACCCAACTTGGTAAAACCTTTGAAGCAGAAGAAGAAAGTTTAAACCCATGTGTTGTTTTCCATAATTTTAAATACATCATACACAATAACTTTTCTTACTGGAAAATTTTAATTATCCAAAATAAAACTTACACTTTCTTGTATGAGTCTAAGTGTGTGAGCTCTGGAATCATTTTGTGAATGTGATATAAGTTGAAGCATTGATTCTTTAATAACGGGTTGTATTGCTGAATTATTTGTACTGTAATTTAACAAAAGAGCTGCACCAATTAATCCACATGCATATTTCAACATGTATATTATTGTCATCTAAAGGTAGAAGAATAATAATAATAATATCATTAAATGATGTACCATCGAGGGTAACATACTTTAAAGTACATATATGCTTACAATTCGAAGGCCTTTAACATTTTCATTAGCAATGAAAAGACAAGACAAACAAGATGTAAATATTAACAAACAACTACCAAATAAAATAATATAAATTCCAATGTAAAATTCATAAATTTGTAAATCTTCAACCCATCTGTGAAAAGATTGATCGGATTTTAACCAAATGCAAAGAGCAAAAACGACAACACCTAAAATCTAATAAAAAAAAATTTAAAGTTTCCCTCCTCTTTACAAAATGGCTAACGGTTTGACTAAAACCTCCATTTTGATTTTTTATAATGTAAAAAATATTACTCACCCATGAAAATATACTAAATGAAAGGAGTGTATATCTTAAACAATCAATTTTTCTACTTAATGTACCAAGTGAAAAATTAAAACCAAAATTTTCTTTTCCCAAAGCCATTTTTTTTACCCACACATACAAATTTTGTGTGCTAAAACTTATAATCTGTCGTCTTATTACTGATAAGCCAGGTGGTTTACTCATCATCATTATTTCAAATATTATTATTATTTTTTTAGATTAGATATGATAAGAGAGAGAGAGAGAGAAAAAGTCAACTCCCATAATACACATAAGTTAAACATAAGTTTTAAAATATATATTAATATCTTTTTAAATAAATAAATAAATAATTAAAAATAACCTAAAAAAAAAAAAAGAGACAATTTTCTTCCTTTCCTTTCCATTCCTTTTTAAATTCTTAACTAAAAGTTAAAAATGATGATGATAATGATAATAATAATAACCCTTCCTCCATTTGTTTTTTTAAAATTTAAATTAATTATAAA